ATACATACATACATACATACATACATACATACATACATACATACATACATACATACATACATACATACATACATACATACATACATACATACATACATACATACATACATACATACATACATACATACATACATACATACATACATGTTTTTCCTCTGTCTCAATTTATCTTGCATTGCATGTTTCAATTTATAGAAAACATTATTGGATTCAAAATTTTTCTCTCCTCTACATCAAGAATTGGGACGAAAGTACTTTTGGTTGACAAATTCAAATACCTGTTTTGGACTTGAAGGATTGAGTGGCATAGGTCCACCAAAATGCTGATGGATACACGACGGTGCTCTGGGCAAACCAGAAATGAATTTAGAGTGGTATATTGTGTAGAGAAGTGTAGAGTAGAGTGAACATGATTGGTGTAGAAGTTAGTTCTAAGAGGTGAAACTAAAATAAATATGCTTGTTATATTCGGTTAAATACTTAAATGATTTTGAAAATATGGTAGCAAGTCCTTCAAAGGGTAGATTACACCCCCAAGGCTTACCATGTCACCCTAATCCTCGGCTTCCAAGATCTCATATCTAGGGACGTATCCTCGGTTAGCTTCTAAAGCTGAAAATCGTGTCTAATGTCCAGTTTAACTTGAGTCAAACTGGACAAATACACTGGGACGGAGGGAGTATTTGCTAAGCCCTCCAAAATGTTACATCCTAACAGAGCCTAAAGAAACAAATCATATTCTAAAAAGAACTAGGCTGCCAACTGGCTGGGTCACTACCACCTAGATAGAGCCTAGGCGAGATCAGGAAGAGCAGAAGCAAGACTAGGTGGGAATCAATTTGGAGAAATGAAATGTAGGCAGCCAAAGGACACCTAGCACCAACTACACAAGCAGTGACTTCAGAACATAAGTGCAAACGAACAAAACTACTCAAGGTCAATTTCTAACATAGAGTGAATTGGGAGGAACAGTACCTAGAGTCAGCCGATCTAGGCTTTTTGGGATCAGCAAAGCGAACAATCAAAGGGTGATCACAACCCTGACAGGTAAGAATGTAAAATGGAAAGCAGTCATCACAGGTTAATATAAAATTTAAACAACAAAGTGGCTAGAGCATTTTACCCTCATTGTGTATGTTCCTTGCAGTGCATTGATGGCAGCAACTGCCATGTCTCTACGAGAGAACTGAACAAAAGCACATCCTTGAAGGCAGGAAAACGCATTGACATGAAGTGGACCAACTTAAGAAAATTATTACTTGGAGGAATGGTAGATAAAAAAAAATAAATCTAGAAATTGGTATTTTAAAAAAATGTATGCAAGGCCAAAAAATAGCAATGAGATATAAACTTTAAAAAGGACTAAATTTCACTAGCATGTAGGGAAACATGAAAGGACACTCATCAAAATAAGACTAAAGCACTTGAAGGTATCAAAATATCAACAGTAGACCAAAAAGCACAAAATATCCATGCCACTAAAAGAGAAATTTATAGAGAGCTACACCAATCTTTTTACCTGGAAACAAGAGAGGAAATAAATTTCCAAGACAAGGGATAATAACATTTCTTTTAAATTTGTGTCATACAACTTTACTCATGCTAGCTGGAAATTTAAAATAAAAGAAATGTAGAGATTACCCCTGTGTTGCTTTTGATCATCACGGTCACGTACAAAGAAAATTGATTCAATAATCCCGTATCGAGAAAATAGCTGGTAGTAAAGCCAAAACCCAAGATCAGTCTTTAGAATATAACGAAGGTTATCCTACATGAGGTTTGCTATGTCAATAAGAAACAAAAAAACGTCTCAGAAAATATATCATTGACCATTTTGTCTTATTTTGCAAAAACAAAAATAGAACTGTTACACTGATATGAAATACTTTACAAGCCACATACAAAAGTTCCATGGCAAAGGTTGAAACTGCAATCTGATAATAGAATATGTGTGCAGCTAGTTGTAAGATAACAATAATATTGAATATTGTGCAAGTACATATGAAACAAAACAAAAAAAAAGGAACAGGAGAGACAATGCAATTTGCCATGCAGCCCCACAACAGAATATAAAAGATGAATGAAGATTTTTGGCAAACTTGGAGCATACTTCATCTATTTCCCTTTTAGAAGTTTGTCTGTTCATGCCGCCAACATATAGTTTGTGTAAATGTTCACCAAAATTGCCTGCAGAAATACAAGCAAACAATAACATCACAATGCAAGCAGGACTGCAGAAGACTGCTATACTAAAGTATACTCAATAACTTCCATAACTACTGCAGTGTATATAACAATCAGGTTCCATAATGTGGATGTTTACATGACAATTTCAACCCTGTAATATGACTATAGTAGTTAGACATGACTAATAACTACCTCTGCAGATCATTTTCTTATAATATTTTTCAAGCAAGTGGAAAAGATATGATGAGGACGGTTTTGGAGTTCTATCTCATTATTTCTCTAAAAGAAGGATCCCACAGGAAGAGCATCTAGTGTAAAACTCTTAAGAGCAATGTGCACACCCTCACCTGCGGTGTCTGGGAAACAGTGGAAGAGAAGAGATGGAATCTATGGCGAGAAGGTGAATGCAGGTTTGCCATACACACAATAAGTTCTTAGTTAAAGGTGATTCTTTATTCGAACTCATAAATCGTATATAGATAACTAATATGAGTCACAAACCAAAAAGGATAGTAGTCCTAAACTGTTACAATTAATAGGAAGGAAAACTGATCATAAGAATGCTAATAAAAACTGATAACACTTGGCAGCTCTTCAGAAGCTTGGGCCAAATGTCCATTGGGCTCCTTGCAATGATGGTCCATAACATCCCCCCCCCCCCGCCGTGTGCTGTCCTCGAGCTCAAAGCCTCAAAACCACAAAAGACTACATGAACTCTGCTGAGGTCCTCGTGAGTAGCTTTCATGACCAACTACTATACCTTACCTAATGCACCAAAACCTCTCGAATTGGCCGTGGTTGTGATGCACATGAAGAACAATCAAATGCAGCATAATGTTTGAGTTGGTTTTGAGAGGCGGTAGTGTGCCCATAAATGTTGGCAGCGGCCCTTTGTGGAGCTTCAACAAGGATGCATGAAAGACTTCATGAATCTTGTAGCCTAGAAAAAGCATTGCCAATAGACAGACGGGCTAATAAACAATGATAGAAAAAAATCCGACATGCCACGGGTAGGTATGGGTGTATATGGAGCATGGCCAAATTGGTGCAAAAGATAACTCCAGATAGCCTTTATCATACCAGAGCTTCAATGCTTCATTCGTTGTGAGAACGTTGTCGCGGTCAAGAAGAGCGTGTTTGATGCCTTCAAGCTTGGCCACTCGAAGGAGTACGGGAATGAGCTTTCGGGGTGGGGAAGATTGTGTCCACACACTATGCAAAAGGGAGTGTCACCCAAAGTGGTGCAATGCGAACATACAATGTATTATAAAAAAACTCAACTTGTAGCAACCAACAGACCCAGTCATGGGACACTCGCTGCTGAAACCGTCCCCAACTCCAATGTATGATTAAACACCTATGTGTAGCCAACCATTTGTGGATGATAAGCAAATAAGAAAGCCAAGTTTGCACCACTGAGGAGGAATAGCTCCTTCCAGAAGGCGTTAACAAAGACTTTATCGGGGTTAGACATAATCATGGTTGTTAAGTCGACAAGTCGAGTCGAGTCGGTGACGGAGAGACTAGTGGACTAGGCGACTAGTCGTAGACTAGTCGACAAATCACAATTACTATTGAAAATTTTAACATTATATATATCTATATTAACTGAATTCAGAAAAAAACTGAAATACTAAAATATTAAATAAGTTAAAGTACTAAAATATTAACTGAATTCAGAAATACTAAATTGAAATATTAAAATAAGAAAAAAATATTAACTTAAAATATTAAAATAAGAAATACTAAACCAAAATATTAACTGAATTCAGAAAAAAATTGAAATATTAAACTGAAATACTAAAACACTAGGATAAGAAAAAAACCAAAATATTAACTGAAATCAGAAAAAAAAACTGAAATATTACGAAAACAGAAGAAAACTGAAAATTTTAAAGTATATTATACTCTATAGTTTAATGAATCAAATCAATGAAAATTAAATCAAATAAAGAGTATCCTTTAATGATAACAAAGTAAACATTGAGAAATCTTACCCATGGAGGACAGTCGCTGGAAGCCTGGATGTCACTGCTGGAACTGAAGAGAGAGTCGTGACACTCCAGACTGTCGATTGTGGATGGATTGCGTGGAAGAGGCGTGTTTTATAAAAAATTTAAAAATTAATGAAATTTGGGTCGGGTCAAATGGATTAGGTCAAACTTGGCCAGATTCTTTCACCGATTAGGCGGCGCATAATCGAGACTAAGCGTCGCTTTGCACGCTTTGTAGCCTAGTCGGCCCCAGGCGCTAGTCGGAGAGCAAATCGCCATGGCAAAACCGCCCGGACGACTAGTCGTGGCCTAGGTGACGACTTGACAACCATGGACATAATAGGTTTTGGTAACACTTTGAGAAGAAAAATTTCTACAAAAAAATACAGCCGCTATGGTGATTTCTCAGCAGAGGGATGAGACAAGGAAACAAAGTGAGCCACCATTGATACTCCATCCATGACCATGAATACATCGACTACATTTTTTTGAGTTTTGATAATCCCTCCACAAATCCAAGATAAATTTGCCCACGTGTGTTGTGGAGTGGACAGTAGATGCAGCAACTGCATGTGCTGGAAAGTGGAAATTAATCCACTTTTGTTGTTGATAGACTTTCAATCATGAACAAACTCAGCCATGGTCTTTTTTCATCTCAGGCCAATGAAATTCACTATGTAGTCGTTGAAGTTTTCTTGTCACCCCTCATGAGCAGTGAAATACAAATATGGGCATTGTAATTATGAGGAAGGAAAGCAATAAATATATTATGGCCAAAAAGAGTCTTTGTTAACTAACTCAACAAGAGGTGATTCAACAAAGATACGATGGCACAGTGACCCCAAAGTGTCTGTCTCGACTAAGTCAACTAGATGACTTAACAAATCTCAAATGTAGTTGAATGAAGGAAAGTCCAATTTGGTGCATTAGAAAACTAGTGATCTCTTGTCTGTGTGGTCTCATTGTTGCCTCATGTTTTCCTCACTGGTGTCGTGAGTTGCATGGCCAATCCGCATGAGACCACACAACATAGCCGATCTCTGGCCAAACAATGGAATAAAAACGTGAAAGCTATGGTGGTTTGAAAGCATTGTCATATGCACAAAATAAGTTATTACTCCAAACGCAAAAGATATTTTTTATTAAAATTTTCTAACGCATAAGCCTTTTAGATACGGAAAGTAGTCCTTAAAGCTTCAGCTTGTAATAAGGAAATATGATTTGAAAAAGGAACACCAATATTCCCTTAGTACCTTTTTATTTGTCTCATTTCAGCTTATGATGCTTAATTGATGTTATTTTAAATTCAATCTATATAAATATTGGTGTAAAATTTAAAACAAAATAAAGATTTTTTATATGTTTTAAAAGTACATCAAAAGCTCTATGAAACTAGGGATGACTTAACAATTTTATTTTAATTTCTTATAAAATGATCTAATAAAATAGGTAAGGAAAGAAAATCTGGTTTGACCCTATGAAATTTGAGTAGTGAATGAGACAAAAGAAAAGGAAAGGGGGCAGTAATCTGTTTTCTAAAAAGGAATACTAGTAAAATTGATAAAACTTGGGCAACTCTTCACAGGGCTTGGGCCAAAATGTCCTTCAAGAAAATATAGATACTCATTACGCTTATTCCTTTTTATTTTGATATTAAAAGCAAACAAAAACCATGCGAACAAAAGGCAATTATCAGTTTGCTGGCAGGCCTTGTTACTTTTGCAAGGGATGAGGATGATGACTTTTTGGTTTATAAGATTACTTCTACAAAAACTTCGACCATACTGGCACCAGTGGTAAACATTCATGTGCCCAAGCCGCCAAGCCCACTATGTTTACACTTGTCAACATAAATCTTCTCACACCACCCCACATGTTCCATGTCCTGAACCGGATTCGGTCTCATGAATCGCATCAACTACTTTGCCTAAAGAGTAGGCTCTTGTCAATGACCATGATCTCCAAACAGCTTTGCGCAAAGGTAAATGACGTGCACGCATCTCATCTCTTCATTTGTATCATATGATCATACTACATTACATCTTGCTCTTTTAGTGCATCCAATGACTCTATTTCCTTTGAAGAGGCATTTGCCTACCTTGGATGGCATGACGCATTAAAAGAGAAAATGAATGCTTCAGATTTCAATGGTACTTGGGGGAGCAAGTGCTTTTTTCTGTTTGTGTTAATGTTATTCCTTATGGTTCTCTTGCAAGGTGCCAAGGTGAAAACCCGCCTTATTGCCAAACGCTGTGATCAGACTTATGGTATTGACCACTGTGATACCATCTCATCAATTTATATGTTAAAATCTATCTAGTTATTTACCTCTCTTGCTACCACTTATGCACGGCCCTTACATGAATTGAACCAGAGCTCAAGAACCTGAAAGATCAAATTTATATACTCCCTCCGTCCCCCTAAGATGTTCTCATTTTGACTTTTGGTGGTTTTTAAGGAGAGTTGAAAAAAGGTGAAAGTTTACCATAATACCCTTAATGAAAAATGGGTGGAGTGTATTAAATGAGGTGGGTGAGATGTAATAAATAAAGCAAGTGGGGTAGTTGTGGTATTTTAATTGTTAAAAAATGAAATGAGAAGATCTATTGTGGACAAAGAAAAAGGGCTATTGGGAAGATCTTTGGGGGACGGAGGGAGTACTTTTTTTGAAGACACGAGCAAAGTTGGTACGGCGACAAGGCAAGGCCAGGCGCCAGAGTGCCTTCTAGTCGCATAGGCGATTTGGCGTCTGCCTAGGCATCCATTAGGCAGGTGCAATATATATGTGTGTGTGTGTGTGTGTGTGTGTGTGTGTATTTTTATTTTTTTATTTATTTATATACGCACACGCGCACACAAACAAATAGAACACGTGTTACTTTTAAAAAAATAGAGTTCCTCGCGTTTTCAGGTGAGAGGCGAGGCGAGCACCTCATTGCCTTGGACGTTTTCAGGTGAGGTGTCCATCTTATAGCGCCTTAGTGCCTGAACAATGCCTTAATAACTATGGTCACAAGCAGGAGGAATGAGAACTTTGAAAAATGTGTTCTGGAAAGTAAGAGTGGCAGTATGTATGGAATACTATATTAATATTGGTGCATTTAAATAAAAGAAAATTTGCTCCATCTTGTAACTTTTGGAAGTTCAGAGAAGTTTTTGAATTGGTACAATTGGATCTTTAAAATCTATGAATGTTTAGCAACCAAATGACCCCAAAAGCTGCATCTGTAGCTTTTGACAGTTCTAAGAACTGCAAAGAATCTCCCGAATGCTCATATCATTGGGATGTTGTCAGCAGTATCTCAAGGTATGTCAAGAAGTCTCCTGGACTCCTGGCATTGGTCTCCCATTTACAAATTCTTTCATCTTTTCTTATTTCATTCAACAACTTATTCGTTAAGCTGATTGCCCTACTATCAATGGATCTCTCTCAATTGATGGGAATTGAGGAGAAGTTGCCAGATTAGTCTTGGGGACCAACCCTTATAACCTTTATATAGAAACCAAGTTAGACCCCATTAACCCTAACTAGGTTTTCTATTGGGCTTTACAGATTACAAAGCTCATACCTTATAAGTACTACAGGTTGAACTCGAAGGCTGCAGGGGTCACCGCCGCCAGTGGCGAAGAGGAGGCGCGGTGTATGACGAAGGTGTTCAAGGAGATTATGAGTCTGGTCGGGGAATTGGCGTCGGGGGATTCGTTCTACACAACCCGATTGGTGCCGTGGTTGGATTTTGGCGGCCAGATTTCATCCATGAAGTGAGTGTCTANCATGTCAATAGGTAGGAGGAGATTGTCCAACGGCAGAAATTCTTGTCTGCCAGTCTAGCAAAGAAGAAGAGAAAAGAAAATGGGGGGGCGTGGGTTGGGGGGGATGGAGGAAGAAGAGAAGAGGGGGAGGGGAAGCTGAATGAAAGAAAAAAATGGGGTCAAATTAGTTAAACTTGAATTTATAAAATTATAATTCGGTCCCATGTGACGTTGGTCACCGGCTAATGGACTTTTGGTGAAAGAATGTTGAAGTTGGTGTATTTTTGCAATGGGATTTAAAGTTCATATACCAAAATCAAATAATGTTGAAAGTTCGTATACCATTGGACATTGGTGAAATTTACCCAAACTTAAGCAACACATCCTAAAAGCACAATTTCAGAAGAGAATTACCAAGTCGTTCTCTTTCCCCTTCAGCGTATCTAACTCTTAATGGACACTCAGCCTGGAAGGAAAAAGCATATATCAAATAGCAGGAGAGGAGTGCCTCTTATGGATGAAAGCTAAAACACACTCCATCCCAAAAAACTTCACCAGTTTGACTTTTATGGAGTTTAAGAATAGTATTGAAAAGTGCAAAATGTATGGTTAGAACTTAGTTAAATGAGAGAGACATCTTGTAAGCCACATGTTCATTACTAAAAAAGAAATAAAGTGGGTGTTAGATTTTATCAGGTTTGTTCACATATAACTGAATGGGTAATAGGTCAATGTTCGGATCAGTTAGTACAGAGTCAGTATGGAGTTGGTTAGTGTGTCTTTCATATTCAATTAATTAAAAAAAAAAAAAAAAACAGTTAAGGCAGTTTTTAAAAGATAGGTCCTGGTAGTTTTTAAAGTTATGTTGCTTTGTAAAAGTTGTGATCGTTTGTTCCCTATTTATATTTAGAGAACACAAAGAATCCTGTAACAGTCACAACAACAAAATATTTTTCTGTTTTGCTTTGATCCAATCCTGTATATCAATGGGTATCAGAGCGACAATCCAATCACAACCCAGCAATCAAAGGGAGCAGGTCCAATTTGCGACCAGGGGGTGTGTGATTGACAGCATAAGGGCCTGGCCAGATCGCAAAACAGTGCATTAGAAACTTTCTAGGAAACATGTCAGGAATCTTCGACTAGATTTCTTCCTCGCCTAGGACAAGAACAGCAAGTTGCTAGTTTTTTTCTTAGGCAGAAGTATTCCAACCAAAGGCGCGGGAAAAAACGAATCAGCGGGGTAGTTTTTGTTTAGCGGCTTGGAAGACGGAAAAGCAAGGGGCTTGTTTTCTGGTTGATGGTCGATTGCATGTGGCTTACGACCCAGGAAGGAATTGAAGTCTAAGAATTTTAGAAAAATTGTCAAAGGAAGTAAAGTCGTGCAATGGAAGACAACCCAAACAGACAAATTGTGACTACAAAGGAGAATAGTTCACTATCTTTTCAGGTTCAAATTCTAACTGCTACAAACTACACTGTATGGGCCGTGAAGATCAAAGCGATTTCCAACGTTAATGTGATTTGGGAGGTGATCAAACCAGGAACAGAAACCGATTCAAAGAAGAACAATATGGCGAAAGCATATCTGTTTCAAGCTTTGCCGGAAGAGATCGTGCCACAAGTTGCTCAGTTTACTGAAGCTAAAGAAAATTGGGATGCCCTGAAGACTCGTTTTGTTGGTGTTGACAGGATTAAAGAGGCGCAATTACAGACACTCGAATCAGATTTTGAGTCTTTGAAAACGAAGAACAATGAGTCAATTGATGATTTTGTTGGTAAAATTAGTCAACTTGCAACACAAGCAAGCAACCTTGGGTCTGCATTTGAAGACAAAAAAATTGGTTCGAAAGCTGTTGGAAACTGTGCCAGAAAAGTTCAGACAGATCAATGCTACAATTGAACAGTTTGCCGACATTAACACAATGCCGTTTCAAGAAGTAGTTGGAAGATCGAAAGCATTCAAGAAACACATCAAAAGCCAACCGAGGAAAAAGACACACATGGTAAACTACTATTCACTAAAGGTGATGGAAAAGAGGAGGTTAAGGAGCACAAATGTGAGCATTGTGGTTGCGGGAGCTCAATCCGAGAAGACTTTGGCCGTGGCCGAGGTAGAGGTCCAAGAAAGGTCAAGATGGCGATCGGTTTCAGCGGGATAAGAGTCACATTAGGTGTTTCAACTGCAACGAGCTCGGGCATTTGTGAACGAATGTCCAAAATGGGATCAAAAGGAAGACACTAAAAATTTGATTCAAGATGATGATGATTGATGAACCAACGTTGTTGTGAAGATCAGTGTGAACAAGCAATGATTAGGGGCGTGATTGTTAGATTTCATCGAGTTTGTTCACATATAACTGAATGGGCAATGGGTCAATGTTTGGGTCAGTTAGAATATAGTCGGTTAGTGTGTCTATCATATTTAACTATTTATAAATAAAAACATTTAGGCAATTTTTGAAAAATAGGTCCTGGTAGTTTCTTAAAATTGTGTTGGTTTGTAAAAGTTGTGTTGGTTTGTAAAAGTTGTGATGGTTTGCACTCTATTTATATTTAGAGAACACAAAGAATCCTGTGACAGTTCACAAGAATAAAATGTTCTGTTTTGCTTTGATCTCATCTTGTGTGGGAAGTGTTTTTTGGGACGTCCAAAAAGAAAGAGTGGGTAAAGTTTTATAGAACAGAGAGAGTATTAAGTTCAGTTGTGAAAAAACTAACCCCGGGGATAGTGTACCGATCATGTAATGCTAAAATTGCTCGATCAGCATCATCCAATGCTCTATACTTCACAAAACAACTCACTGCAAAGTCAGCATACAGACAAATTATGCAATTACGAATAAAGATTGCCTAATGCCTAGACCTCACCTAAATAATGAGTACAAAGTCTGTGGTTTATATGAATATCAAACATGAATAAGTAAAACAAACAAAATTTGTAGCAATAAAATGATCATTAACAATATACAGTCTAAGACAATGATATCCCTTGATACCCCTTAAATAAATAGATTAAAGATTTTGCAAGAGGAAATAATAAGTAAAGCATATTTCTATGGCGAAATATCATTAAGTATATGCCTTGAAAAGTAGTGAAGCACACCAAGATTATCAATCTAATACAACAATAACAACAACAACAAACTCAGATTATCCCAACTCTCCCAATTCTGTTAGGGGCTAGGGTCAAAACTCAAGATGTACTCCACTTGGAAAAAGAGGTTGTTTCTTTGAAAAGAACTAGGTATTCTTTGAATGTTAAGAAAAGAAAGGTAATTATGAAAAGGATACAAACCTATATTAAGTAATAGTTTTGGTTACCAAGAATTTTGATCTTTGCAACAACTATACATGGATGGCAATACTTCAAAAGAAAAAATAATAATGGATGCAGCTCTTTCTCATCCTCTATGCTTTTTTTAACTTTCCTTTTGGATTTTAATCCCTTTGTTCCTATTTATATGCGGATTTACCGAATTAACAGTTTGAGAGGTATTAAAAAAATAAATTTGTTATAAACATTTAATACTTTTCCAAAAAAATATCTCACTAAAAGCCACCCTCATTAACAGTGCAGTTATAAAAATGCCACTGAACCATTTTTTTTGTCAAAAAAAGTCACTCCCTGTTAAATGTCAAAAAATGCCACACACATCTGATTAGAGTAGGTTAAAACAAAGAGACGTTTTAAAATGCCACTAAACTTTTTTTGTCAAAAACGTCACTCTTTTTGTTATTTCTATGTCATAGAAGTTTTAATAAAGGTTTAAAAATACCACTCTTATGTCTGAAACCCATCAGTTAAAATTCTTCTATTTTATTTTTATTTTTTTATTAGGTATTCTTTCCCATCAAATTTGTTTCTTTTCAGTTCTATCAACTCGCGAATATTAGATTTATAAAAAATCGATTTTTAAAAAACATGATTTTGTAATACTCCCCTCGTCTGCAAGAAAACTTGACGATTTAAATTCACACAAATGAACAAGTGTTGAAAAGTTGATTAAAAGTGAAAATCTGAAATTTATTTGAAAGAGAGAATGAATTATGCCCCCATATTTGCTCAGAGAAAATGATATTCTTTTTAGACTATCCAATTTTCATGAGTTGCTAGTTAGTTTGTTGTTTCATGATACAAATTCATAACAAATGAAAAGAATATCATATATTACAAAATTATGTTTTTAAAAATTTGATTTTTTTATAAATAGTCTTTGTGAGTTGATATAACTCAAAAGAAACAAATTTGTTGAGAAAGAGAAGGAAAACATGAGGGGGAAATAAAATTTAAAACAAGAATTTTAACTTATTGGTCAAATACATAAGAGTGGTATTTTTAAACATTAATAAAAACTTTTTTGACATATAGAAATAAAAAAGGGAGTGACATTTTTGCAAAAGAAAAATAGTGGCATTTTTAAACTTCTCTATGTTTTAACTGTCTCTAATCGGTTAAAAGGAACAAGAGTACAAGACTAGTATTTTTACGATAAATAAAAAGTTCAATGGCAGTACAGTAACAAAAAAAGGAGTGGCATTCTTGACAAAAAAATTTAGTTCAATGGCATTTTTATAAATGTACTCCCCTCATTAATGTCCTTCTGGGAAAAGGAAAAATTGAATAGAAGAGGGGTAAATCAATTGAAGAGAACATGCAACTCAATTCATATTGAGAACTTTTCATACAGGCGCCAGGTGGAGTATTTAATTATTTCCACGAGGTAAAAGAACGTGTTCGGCCCCTTCTATTGGAAAAATACGATTTAATGATGATTTAGTTCATCCTGCTTGTTTCATACACTTACACTTTGTTGAATATTTAAAATTATACATAATATTGTATCTACAGAAAGCATATGCATCACAAAAACCAAAGCCAAAAAGGTTGTTACACTGCCCTATCAGAGGATCAGTTGCCTGAATATTTCAAGAAAGTCAAGAAGGATGGATATTTCACCACAAATATTTCCAAACTGTAATTTCTTCAAGGAAGATGTATTTATGAATTACTCCGGTATGATTTATCAAAACTAAATAAGAGCATCCAAATTTTAACACTCAAATACATATGCATTTGGAAAATATAAAATACTGTTAATCTGCAATGTTAATCAAGCAATGGGAGTTTGTATTTCCATTTATGAAAAAACAGACTGTTTATATCAACTGGCACTCATCATTGTTTATGAATAGTACAAGTATTACGAACAGAAGGCATTTGCATACCTTGTTTTTGATCGATCTTTTTATCCTTGAGGAGAATAATCTCTAAGATATGCCCATATTCACCAAAAATGTGTTGAATCTGGAGTTGAATTAGTCAACATAATGCTTATGAAGCATTTTGAAGTCCATACGAAACATTTTCAAGAAACAACTGTTGACCTCTGAAACTAAATATATACCAGAAACTATGACAGATGATGTCTTCACTTTTTATAAAACAATGGGACTCATAAATAAGCTTGTGACATATGAATATAACTGCAGTAAGACCAAGACAAAGACAACACAAAAAATTGAGTTATTGATGTGTTTGATCCAATGGCTTTGAGATTGGAATAGTCACAATAATTAATTCCAATAAGCACCACCATCCTGGCCTTGATGGAACCTTTCATCAAGAACTGTTATATATACTTTTACAGCTCCACCCCTTCCCCTCCACCCAAAAACAAAACCCCAAACTTAAATCTAAAGAGGTTATGCTGGCAGAAAAACTTGAATTCCTTTTGTTATAAAATCTCCAAATAGTTTATATCCTTTTCGGAGCATGTATACATGCTGAATTCATGAGTTGCTGGAGATCTTAATTGCGGAACATACTATTAAACTATATCCTCTTGACTTGTAGAATTTTCATATAGTTTTAAACATAATTTTTTTATTTTAAATTTCACACCAACATTTAAATAAATTGAATTGGGGGAGGGAGCAACACATACATCTTCTTCGGTAGTTGTTCTTGGAACTCCTCCAACATATAGTTTAACAAATCCCCCACCTTCTAATACATCTGAAAGGAAGAAAATAAAATAAAATCGACATGGATTAATTTGAATGGAAAGAAACATTACTTCTTCTGAGAAATTAACAGCTGGGTCGAAAACAAATAAATTGCACTGCAAAGGAGACTTTCAGTCTTTAACAAATTGAATTGAAATTAACTAAAAGTTTGCCTGCCTGGAAACAGAGGTGGTTGTGAAGAGGGAAGAGGTCTTTTTCGCCCGGATGTGTGCGGAGAATGGCCGAAGTTTCGAGTGGCGGCTCCATTAACGGATTCATTTGGCTCGAGTCTTGTGTTTTGATGAAGGCGGTCCTCTGAATGATTATCGTGGTGCTCAGACGGCGGCTTCTGGTGGCAGCGCTGACGGTGCTGGTTGGCGTCTCCTGGAAATCTACCTCCGTGATTGGCGTTATTGTGGGCAATGGACTCGTCTGAGTGCTGCGACGGCGCCGTAGTTTTATAGTTGCGGTGAAAGTCAGGGTGGCATGGGAGTTCTCCATTGCTTCTAGTATCCATTGTGCTTAAATTGAAAATAGACACACTTCAGTAGTTCAGCTATGGGAAGCCAAATACTATGTGAAGGAGATGGCTGGATTCTCCATCGCCGCGAGGGGATTTTGTTGAATAATTTGGTTAATTATCTATTCATTCTGATTTTTAATTATAAGTTAGTGTTTGAATTATTCTTGAATAATTGTCCTAGTCTTCATGGCTGTTAAGAGTATTGCCTACTGGCCTGTTAGTTAGTGATCCTATTTTTATGGTCTATCACAGGATATGTTAGTGGTTTGTTATTAGGCCTATTTTCTAGCTTCTGTTGGTTGTAAGGTGACCTATATATATGGCCATCTGATTTCATTGTTTCTGTGAAAAAAATTCAGCAGATCAAATACACAGTTTTTCATCTTAGTTCCTGAGTAGTATTAATTTTGCAGTTGCATTCTATCTCAAAATCACAGCATACTGTTATTCCCTATTCTTTTCTTTCAGTTGGTATCGGAGCCATATGGTCTGTTATCATGAACAACACTATCCAATTATCAGTTCCTGTCCTTGATGGAAAGAATTATAACCGGTGGTGTGTGCAGATGAAAGTTATGTTTGATTACCATGACTCATGGGATGTTGTGGAAAATGGGGTGTCGGCGTTAGCTGATAATGCGACCGAGGCGCAACGAGTAGCGCATCGCGAACAGAAGAAGAAGGACAAGAAGGCATATTTCATCCACCAAGGGATGAATGACGAGATATTTGAGAAGATCGAAGGAGCAACAACTGCAAACGAGGCTTGGAACATTTTGTCTGCCTCCTATAAAGGTGATGACAAAATCAAGAGGATGCGTCTTCAAACACTAAGACGCCAATATGAGCTGCTGCAGATGGATACCACAGAAACTGTTGATGCCTACATCAATAGGATTTTATCACTGACAAACCAGATGAAGATCAATGGTGAAACACAGTCAGAGAAGACAAAGGTGGAGAAGATTTTGAGGTCTTTAACTCCTAGATTTGAACATGTTGTTGCTGTAATTGAAGAAGTTAATGACCTGTCAACAATGACAGTACGGTTGCTATCTAGTTCCCTACGAGCGCATGAACAACGGATGAATGACAGTAAGATTGAAAAACCAATTGAACAGGCTTTACAAGCACAAGCCTCAATTGGTAATCCTCATCACAAG